CAAAACCTTAAATGCAATAAAATAAATAAATGAGAAAAAGAAAAAAAATTGGAATATGGACAGATTAGATAAAATACTGTATTAGTGTTACATTTACTGCAGTTCATTACTGTCAGTGTATAAGAGAATATCCCTATTCTTAGGAAATAGGTGTAAAGTGCCAGGGTACAACATACTCTCAAATGGCTCAGAAAACTGTGTGGGTGTGAGAAAGAAAGAACAAATGATAAAGCAAATGGAGCAAAATGAATTGGAGGATAGGATATACGGAGTTATTTGTAATAGTGTTATGCTTGCAAACTTTCTATGAGTTTGAAGTTATTTCCAAATAAAAAAAATTAAGCAAAGCAACTCAAATCAGACTTATAAGTAGTACATATTATCTTTCCCTTTTGAATACAACAAAGTCAGTAAATATGTATTGAGAAAACAACAGCATGCATTAATCAGGGTACTGGGAATGCAGTAGTGAATAAGAAAAATGAAATATATGCTGTCAACATGTTAAATTCTAGTTTGAGAAGATGAAAAGTAAACACACAAAATAATAATTTTAAATAGTGATAAGGCCTTGAAGAAGATGAATGTGGATAATACAAACAATGAATGTACTGCTTTAGTTAATGTGGTCAGAGATGGCCTTTCTAAAGAATGTCATTCCAGTTCAGACATGAACAAAGAGAAGGAAGCAGCTATGCAGGTATCTGGGGAAACAATCCAAATGTCCATCAAGAGACAGTGAATGAACCAATGTAAATACATATGATGGACTATTACTCAGCCATCAGATGGAATGAAGTACTGATACATGCTACAACATATGTAAGTCTTTTAAACTTTATGCTAAGTGTAAGAAGCCAGTCATAAAAGGCCATATATTGTATTTCTTTTGTACGAAATGTTTCAAATGGGCAAATCCATAGAGAGACAAAGTAAACTAGTGGTTGCCTGAGACTGGGGAAAGGGATGAGGTGTGTCTACTAATTAGTATAATTTCTTCATTTAGGGTAATGAAAATATTCTAGAATTAAACAGTGGTGATGGTTGGGCAGCTCTGTGAAATATACTAAAACAACTGAATTGTAACACTTTAAATGGATGAATTTATGATCTTTGAACTATATCTCATTAAAGCTGTTTTTTTAAAAAAGAAGGAGGTAATAAGTAATGGAAAAGTGGTCAATAATCTGGAATACGTAAAGGTCCATAAGTATGACCATGAGATTGATAAGGTTGAGGAATAGAAAAATATCCTTACAGCTAAAAAGGACCAGTTTCATTGGATGGGTCATCTACAGGGGTTTTGAAGTTACCAAGAATGTTAACATGACTGACAGACTCCATGTTAGTGTCTTTGAGAACAAGGAAAATGACAAAACACTTACTAATTGAATTATCTGTAGTAAATGCTGCATCTCAGGCTGCCATCTCGGGCTTTTCCCTGTTCACCAGCAAAAGCATTCTAAGAATATTTATGCATGTATTCATACATCATACACCTCAGTAATCAAATGATCAAATGCATCTCTCTAAAAGTAACATATTTAGCATGGTCAAATGAAGACTTTTCCATTTAATATTTATATTTCTCATATTTAGTTTATTTAAAACAGTAATTCCTGATTTTACAATGGCCAAAAATTTTTACTGTGTTGAAAAATTATAAAATTTTAATAATTAAGGTAAATGCATTAAATATAATCTAAATATTAACTCAGGCACATAACATTCTTAAAAGAAAGCAAATCTACATTGTGAAAGAATAAAACAAGTGAAGCTAAGGTGTTACAACTGCTAAAGGGCTGGTATTGTTTCATTTTTCACTATTTCTGATAGTGATTACTTCAAAAGAGATTTCATTATTAGATGTTGTGAGTGATACATAAGAACAACTCTATGTAATGAGAGAAGAAATGGTAAATTTAAGATATGTAGAAATAATCCAGTAGAGAAGAAAAATATGTTCCTTTTATTCAGATTGCAAGTCTGACTGAGCCGTTGGGATCAGTAACACAAGCTGTCTCATTCCCATGGCATCAAGCTGACTGTCAGAAAGAGAACTGCTTTCTGCTCTTGCGTCTAGTTTGCTGTGGTAGTCCCAGGACTACAAAACATGACAGTAAAATCACTCCTACAAGTTTTCCCTGGAAATGCATGAATGAAAAAGGCTTGTCAAAGGATTTCTACTTGTCTATACGTTTTGCCTGCTCCAACCTCAACCCAAGCTACACTGTGTATTATGAAAAAGGAAAAGTAGGTTTTTCTGAAACGTGAGTAATTACATGGGAAGAGCTGCTGCTAGTGAGTTCTAGAACATTCCAAATTTAAAAAACTGCTTTTGTTTTAACTTTGAGTTTTTGTTATCCTGTTTCTAATATCTGTTTTTTCTTTTGTATTAAATTTAGACAGAGAACACTAAAAATTTTTTATATTTAAGACTCGTGACTTTCTATAGTTAATGACTATTTCAAGCAGTTTTAAAACACTTATTACAAATAGCCTTATGCTATTAAATATTCATACTGTGAAGTTTTGAGGGACTCTCAAAAGCTTGTATACAACTTCCTATTACTGCTAAAGAAAAACCAAAGGTAAAGTTTTCTATGCACAATAACAATTTCCCTGCAGTCCCAGAAAGACTCAGCATATATCATGGACAAAAGCAAATATGTTATGAAATAATGGCTAATTATGATTCTCTGTGCCACAGATGGTTTTGCACTGCCACTTGAGCCTACATCAAGTCTGTCCCCCATGGCAACAAGAAAAAAAAGGGGAAGGGAGGGTGCAGTGCAAGAATTCCAAGATTAATCATGGAAAGTAAACTGCTATCTCTGTAACAATAACAATGTGGAGGTGTTGTTTCTTTATTTAATAGACAAAAGGGAGAAAATAAATGATAAAAAAATGTAAAGTTGAATTCCCCCCCTAAAAAAATTGAGGAATATAGAAGTAGAAATGCAAAAGAAGGTAGAATAAAGAAAAAGAGATAATATAAGAAAGCTCTTCCAGGGATCAGCATTTTCCGTCATCTTAAGAAACAGTCCTTCAAACATGTAAAGGCAATTTGTTGCAAGAGCAGAAAAACATTGGTATGAGGAATTTGGAATAAAGGATAAAATGTATATAAACTCATGGTTTCTGACTTCAGTGGTGGGTCCTCAGTGCCTCAGTGTCATTCAACAATCATTTTTCTTAAGCCCAGATCAGTGGTTTTCATAAGCATTAGCCAAGGAGCTTTTGAAAATATTCATGCATAGATCCCACCCTTGGATATTTTGATATAATTGGTCCAAGTGTAGCACAGAGAATGGAATTTTTTAAAGGTCTCTAAATAATTCTGATGGGTACCTAATGCTGAGAATCATTATCTGATTACAATCTATGGGTCAGCAAACTTTCTGGGAAATAAAGGGACAAGTTATTTGGTAAATAATTTAGGCTTTGTGGGTCGTAAGGCCTCTTGCAACTATTCAGCTCTGCTGTTGCCATGCAAAAGCAGCCACAGACAATAAGTAAATGAATGAGTGTGGCTATGTTCCAATAAAACTTTATTTTCACAAACAGGTAGTGGGTTGGATTTCACCCATGGCCTTAGCTTATCTACTCCTGTTTATTAGACTGTTTCCATTCCCCTTGCCCAAAACAGTTGTTCCCATCCTTCTTTACCTATGGGTACCCCCCAAAACTCTGACTTTCAGTAGATGACCTCTTATTCTACTTTAACGGAAAAATGCAGATTGTCTGGTAGAAAATTCTTCTACTTCCTGGTCTATTACTTGCAGACTCAATAAACCTGTGTCTGTATCTGTCCTCATCCCTTTGCCTCCCATTAGAGATTCAGTGTCCCTTCTTTTCAAGATGAATCTAATTCTTTCACTTAATTCCATCAGCCTTTCATCTCTTCTGCAGCTCCACTCCATAAAGAATACCATTTCTTATGTGTTCAATCAGTCCCTTTCTATTTGTTCCTTTCATTTACTTAACAAATATGATCAAGTGACATCCTTAACCAGAGAACCCTCAAAGTCTTCCTCAACCCTGTGTTCTTCCCTAAATGCACACCCACCTCTGCCTTCCCTTAAAAATTCTATACCTGTAGCCTCTACTTCCTCTCTTCCCATTCACTCTTCAAACCACTAAAATCTGGCTTCTGTTCCCAATATTCCACTGAAACTGCTTTCATTAAGATCACCCACAACCTTCATATGAAACATTTCACATTGCTGACTCTCCTTAAAACTCTTTCCACATTTAGCTTTTGTGATACCATTGTATCTGCCATAGTTAGTTATTCTTCCTCTGCTGGTCACTCCCAAGCTGTTATTCTCTAATATTATTTGCCAAGCTCTCTCCTCTTCTTATGCTACACATTCTCATAGCCATTTCCATGGCATTGACTGCCACCTACATGCGATAACTCCCAAGTTTTATTTCTAGTTAATGTCCCTTTCTCAAGTGCTAAGTCCATATTTTCAAATATCCCTTGAAAGCTATACTCAGGTATCTTCCTCAAATCTGCCTTTTCCCTTTATTCCCATTTGGTTAACAGTTTCCTGAACAGCCGAAATGTCAGAGGCAAAATTCTCCCTCTTCCTCATGACCCTTGATAATCCACTGAGCACTACTATGAAGATTTTTTTTTTAAATCTCTACCTGAAGACACCTCATTCTCATCTGTTCAGTGAATGGCAGCCATACATGTTTAACCACATATGGTAGTCCTGCTTTCCTTCCAAATCCAATCAGCCACCAAATCCTGATGATTCTACCTCTAAAGCATTTCAGCAATCCAACTCCTTTTAGCCATTCCCACTGTAACTACCTTTTAGGCAGACTATAGTCATCCCTCACCAAGATTATTTGCAATAACTTCCTAATTTTTTTAACTTGCCCACATCAGTAGCCCCTTACTTCCTTTTCTTACTTTTTCTTTCTCTTTAGGTCATTGTCCTGTTCTATTTTCACTTTGCTAAGAGGTACTTTGCAAAATCGCATACAGTATTTCTGTAGTAGAAGTGCCATGGTTTTATAAGAGAGAAGAGTGATCCTTCTTCTTTGGTTGCTGTCTCTTTTTGATGATACATGATATTTCATTGAGCTTTTGGTCTCAGCAATATAAGTTGCTGAAGTCACTAGGATAGAGGTCCATCCTAAATAGAGTCTGGACACCACACTTTAAGTAAGATGACAACAAAATGAAGTGCCCAGTGAGTATGGTATGGGATTCCCAGCCACAATCAATAAGGAGTTAATTGGAAGAACTGGAAAATAAATTCTAAAGAGGATTCTGATTTATTTCCTGGAGAAGACTAATTTGAATATTCGTTCTCTATATGAACTCCAGGACCATCAATCAGGCATATTTCCTCCTTAACAAAAACAGAGTTCCTTTTCTCTAATAGGAAATATTTAGTTAAGGCTTCTTTTTTCTTAATAGGAAACACACACGAGGTGTTCTACATTTGGGTGTATACTGGCACATCCATCATGGAAAGGAAGTTCACTATTAGTCCTCATTTCCCTGGGATGCCTTTCTTAGAAATGACCTTACATTGACGTTTACCAGTTTGCTGAAATAATGGTTAATTTGAATGGTAGGCTATGCATTTTCAATATTGATTCCTTAAGTGGAATACTGAATGCCCTAATTTTCTTGAGTGGGGGCACCTGACATATAAGCCAAGTTAAATAATTTTCCACATTATTACTTAAATATTATTTCCAAAGCACATTCTTCAATTGTGTTGTTTTAAAATTTATTATTTAATGGTGATTGCAAGCCAGAGAAATTCTGGATGATTTAGCAGTAACTATTTCATATGATATCTGGCATGTGCTTCCTCAAAAGTATGCCCAGTATATTCTATTTCCTTATCATGCCTTCACAATATTTTCAGAAAGCATCTATTTTATTAAAAAACCTACTGTTGTATCTGGTCCTGTTGAGGCAGTCTGTTGATCTAAAGGAAATTACTTAAAATCCTTCATTATTAAATTATCTTATCTTAGCACACAAATCTAAAATAAAATCCCCTTTCTTATCTTTCATAATAGCACTCTAGTAATAAAGTGACATATTTCATGAGCTTTGCCATAAAATCACATTTTTCATTTAGTAAAAAGAGCAAAGTCCCTATATTTATTAAGCAATCAGACTTATGAAATTGCCTGATAGGAATACTGATAGTGACCACGGTTTGAGGTATATGCCGATAATAATCTTTTTTTCATAACTTTTTTCATAATATGAAACAGACTACCTGATTTACCAAATAAACAGGCCCTCTGTGGCCTTAATCTTCTCCCACCTCTTTCCTATCTTGGCCTCTGCAAAACAGGGTTATGATATGGTTTTCACCATATCTGCCAAGAATCTTCCTGCACACCTGGCTTTGAAAGAAATTCAGGAAACAAGCGAGCAAGCGTGGTAAAAGGTAGTGCTTCACTTGCAGTTTGAGGAACAGATTTCTATAGTCATACTAACAACCTTCTTTAAGATTTGCTAGTAAGAAGTTCAACAAGCAATTTTCTCCATTTTAAACATTCTTTTCCTTTATTAAAATACATTAATTCAAAACAAAGCTTTAAAAAATATTCATATATTAGGCTGGGCACGGTGGCTCACCCCTCTAATCCTGGAACTTTGGGAGGCTGTGGCAGGTGGATCACTTGAGACCAGGAGTTCAAGATAAGCCTGGTCAACATGGCAAAACCCTGTCTCTGCTAAAAATATGGAGTGTTACCACTACACTCCAGCCTGGACCACAGAGCAAGACTCTGTTTCAAAAAAATTAAATTAAATTAAAAATTCATATACCAAATAGTCTCCTATCTGAAACTAGATCTACCAATAAAAAATAAAATCCTAAGCCTAATACTGTACCATTTTGCTTATACCTAAATGCTAACATTTTTTTAAAGTTTAATTTGGCCCCATATTACATACTGAATTGTAGTCTATATTGTTTATACATTCATCTGTAAAAAGTTCCATTTTTCATTCTGTTCACTCCAAAGTTACAAGAAAAAGACAAGCAAGAATTTGTAGGAAAGGAAAGGTTAAATTGTGCTTATATTTAAAGGAGAAGCAATGAGGAATCCTGTTCTAATCAAACTGAGGATAAGAAATAGAACTCTATTCTAGAAAAACCCTTCTAAAACTGATTTTCATGTCCTTGAGTTGATCTGAGGCAGAGTGCTCATTATTTTTTCTAGGAGTAAACCTGGATAAATATACGTTCAACTGAGTTAAAGAAATGACTTTGCTTCCCACAGCTGCAAAGCAAGGCAGCAAGACAGACCATTATATGCTACACAAAATGATCCAAATGACACTGTATTAAAAAATGTTCAGTGAATATTTGATTATATACTAAAATGCTTGCTTCAAATAATTGATTAGTAATAGATATATTTTTCACAGAAAGTTAATTTGTCCTTTCAATTGAATATTTCCATCAACATTCTTTCTCTCATCACAGAAATCTGTAATGATAACACATATGAAACACATTTTCTTTCATATCAGATAAAAAGTATAATAGTCAAAACATGCATACAGTAAAAGGCTTACCGAGGTGTACAAGTATCCCTCACTGTTCATTGCCAAGTACAGCTTGGTTTGAACTCCCTGGATAGCCACCACTCGCAGACCCACAGGGATGAGGTTAAACAGAGCTGAAATTAAAAAAAGAACATGAAAACAATGTTACAATTGTGAAATTCATAACTTTTCAATGTTTCCAGCAGGACTGTCTGGTCCTACAAAAGTAGTGTGTAGTTGGTGAGGATATGCGTGTACATCTCTTTATGTATACATACATACAAATACACACCTACACACACACACACACACACACACACACACACACACACACACATCAAGGCAGATAGATAGGATCTCATTCTACCTTTTAGTGTATTTAATTTCATGGTTGCAGCCAGATAACAGGAACTGTAACTACGTATTATCTAACAGACTGGAGAAAATAGAAGGCTTTGGTCACAATTCCATGGTTTTTACAGTGTTGAAGGTGGGAAATCTTGATAATTCTGGAAAGATATAGTCCCAAGAATTGTTCTGTACATTAAATAGTGTCATCCTCAACAAATTAAGGTTTTAAACTGCTCCCCAAGATAACAGCTGAAATCCTCACAGTCATATTTAAAATCTACCTGTTGGGGAGAGGCCTAGACTTTTAGAAGAGTCCAATGCCCTCATCTAAATTATTTGTTATTCCCTAAACAAAAACTCCAAAATACATCCAGGTCTTGTAAAAAGAAAATGTTATTTTGTAGCTCTATGTTTAAGAGTAGTATTTCTTAAAGGACCAACATTTTCCAAGATAAGAGTTGAGAGAGCTCCTAGCTTTTAGTCTCCAAGAGCAAAGGACATAGGAATAAAAATAATGAACTTGAAAGAGGTGTATTTTATTAATTTATTATTATTATTTTAGCACAATAGTTGCAAGTGGGCAGCCAGTTGGTGCCAGTGAGGACTTCATTTCTCCATTTGAAGATTTGACTGCGTGAAACTTACACCCAGGCTTTCCTCACAACCACACACCACTCACTGGAGACAACTAGTGGGTGTCCTCCCACTACCAGCTGTCTACTCCCTCCCACACTCTGAATAAAAATAAAACAGTACATTTTTGAAACGTAGTGCTTGCCACACACATCTTTTGAAAATAGCCTGTGCACCTTTCTCTCAGGAGTCGTACAGCAATGTTGATGATTTTTGCCTTGTTTTGTAAGTTTATTGAGGATGATAAATCAGTCTGTTATGGTTTCTGTGTACAAGAATGTAAAGGAGTCACCCTGTGGGTAAGAATAGTTTTTCTGGGATCGCTTATCACTGTGCATATATATTCTCCTGTAGTAGGTGGGGTAATATGGATGAGAAATACTAATGAAGAACTAAATATTCCTTGGTGAGCCTACAATGTATCATTCCTTTAAAACCGGGGTGTTACCAAAGAGGAGCTAGGACATATTGTACAGTTCAAAAGACAAGTGTTCCTACCACATGCCACTGATGGCACTTCATTCAATACTCATCAAATTAAAAGCTGTGCCCTTCTGTTATGCGAGGTAAAGGAAAGTAATTGCACAGATTGCAAGCCAAGGTCTCATGCTATATTTGACAATGTAATGCACAGGCAAGAAGTCTGACATCTCTGAGCATGTCATGTGTATGTCATATCCCTTTCTGTTGACGATGTCTTGCTCACAGCAGGTGTTCAACACCCATTTGTGTATTGATAGCAATCTGTATAGTGAAAATATGATACTATGTTTTTTAAAAGTAAGAGATCACAATCCCATTTATATAAAAGCTCATAGTTGAAAAATTCTGAGATCTAAAAAACTAGACCAAAACTTCCACATGGGGTTGGTTTAAAAGCCATATCACTACATACCACTTGACAACTATATTATCATTAAATGTTTGAAACCTAGTTTAGTCATAGTAATAAATGACGGAGAATAATTATTTATAGAACTTCATGTTTTTTAATAATATTCTGAACTTTCTTAGTTCTCTTAATGCAGCTTATAACAAGCAGAAAAAAGAAACAGAGAGAGAGAAAAAAAAACTGACTTGATTTTCACCTTGTTCTCCAATCACTCTCTGATTCAGGTTTTAATAAGCAATGAAATGTCTAAATTTCAAACATCAGACAACAGAAGGAGGAAAAGAAGCAAAAAACATCAGCAATCAATTCCTGTGATTATTTTATCTTGAATAATGGTATTAACTATACAGCAGTACTATGTATTTTTCATTAAGTACTATAAATTTCTATGAAGCCTGATTAAAACCCAAAAATCATCACCCCAAAATAAAAACTTGATGAGAGTAGCAAATCTAGAGACTGACTGATAATACTACTGTGATCTTTTCATTTCTTTTAACATTCAAGATAGATCATAAAATGGGTTGGTTTAAAATATGTCTAAAGGGACAGTCTGCCCAGATAAAAATGCAAAGAAATTATATCAGGTATCAGCTTAAACCAAATAAATATCTTCCTATGTGCTTTTGTTTCTCTATATCTGGTATCTTTCCTCATGGGTTTAAGATATTATTTTGATCAGGATAAAAATATTATAAATATGAGAAGAAAACAATTGTCTTCATTTATGTATTTAAAACACATTCATTAAATACCTAAAATCTTCCATTTTAGTGAAAGTTTTGAAGAAACTTTTAAAACATAGAAAGAGGCCTGTTTCTTGTTTGTTCTCTGTTGTGTCTGCATCAAACACCTTCCACTTTGAAGGGCACTTCCTCAGAGCCCTTCACCTAGTTGGCACTCAGTGTTTGCTGAAGGCAACACTGAAGCAATGCTTCTTCATCAGTTGGGCTAAGGCCAATTTCTCAAAAGAGAATAATTAATAAAAGTATATATTAATGTAGATTGAAAAGGCAACATGTTGAAGTGATAATGGTACTGCAAGTTTGAAGAGAAAGAGAAATCTAGTCTTTTAAAATGTCCTTCCTTGCACCCAGGACAGATATAATAAAACTACTGCCATAAAATGTCTATCATCTTTTCCTTTTCAAGGGAAAATACATAATTTATAATGGCTGATTTCCTCATGATGAGATTTTATTGAACGACATTTATCATTGTAATAAATCTACATAAGGTTAAATGTATATCAAACATATATTTTCAAAAAATGGATATATCTGGATAAATGTGATCTGATTTATCATGACATTGTTTACCATGTCAGAATAAAAATATTCAATTCAATCAAATTAAACTAAATGAGAAAATATGCTGAAAAAAATAAAAGTTAATAAAAATAAGAAAAGAAAAACATAGACAAAGTACCAGGAATACATGTTAAGGAAATATTATGTATATGAGAGATAGTTGAAAAAGACAATTTATATTCTTGTTTTACACATTTAAAATAATTAAACAATACCAATAAAATTGCTTGGTTTTAAAGAACAAAGAATAAGTTCGGAT